CGGTGTGAGTTTTAAGCCACCGGGTCCGGGACGTGAACCGCGGTCGACTACGTGGGAGTCCAGCGACATAGCCATTACGCTAACTGCTGGTTCCCTCATCTCTCTTACTTTTGAAGGGCTATTTTGCTGGATAAAGGATTCTTGGCTAACAGGTTTTTCCTTTCAGCCTTCAGCTTTCTGACCACCAAATTTGCAGGTTAGCAATCTGCTGATAGGGACCAGCAGTTAGTGTAATGGCTATGTCACTGGACCCCCATGTAGTCGACCGCAGTTTGAGTCCCAGATCCAGTGGCTTAAACCTCACACCAGGCGCGTGTGTGTGAGTGCCCAAGATCCTGAGAGGAGAAAGGAGGAGAAGGGATTGTGGCATGGCCATCCCCCCTGGGGGGTGATTTCTCACTTTCTGTCTCTGTCTCTGTCTGGCGAGTGCACACGCCCTATAGCAAAAATCTCTCTCAAAAAAAAAAAAGAAAAAAAAGAAAAAGAAATCTGCTGATGATTTTATGGAAGGTCTCTTATATGTGATGTTACTTTTCTCTCTTGCTGCTTTCTGTCTTTTAAAAGTCTGTGTCTTGGCATCAGTCTCTTGGAGTTCATTGAGCTTCACGGATGTTTATATTTATCTTTGATCAAATTTGGAAGTTTTGAGCCCTTCATCTTTTTCTTCTTCTTCTTTTTTTTTTTTAAGAGGCTTTTGCCTTAGAGCACATGTGTTGCTGGAGAGAGAGAGAAACAGAAACAATGAGATGGAAAGTGAGAAATCACCTCCAGAGGGAATGGCCATGCCATAATCCCTTCTCCATTCTCCATCTTGGGCGTGCATGCACATGTACCTGGTGTGATTTTCAAGCCACCAGGTCCAGGACTTGAACCATGGTTGGCCATGTGGGAGTCCAGCGATCTAATTGCTATGCCATCTGCTGGTCCCCAGCCCTTATTTCTTCAAATACCCTCTTTCCGTCTATATCTCCCGTCCTGGGATTCCCACATACACATGTTGGTCCCACTTGTCCCTTAGATGCTGTTCATGATTCTTCAGTTATTTTCATTCTGTCCCATAGTCTTACTGTTTTTTTAGTTTTTCCTTTAGAGACAGGCTCTCACTACATTCCCCACACGGCCTTCGAACTTGCGATCCTGCTTCACCCTCTCTAATAGCTGGGTCAGCAGGTGTGTACCACCACACCCAACTACTTTCAATAGTGTCATCTTCAATTTGCTGAGTCTTTCTTCTGTCTACTCAAAACTGCCTTTAAATCCTTGTAGTGAATTTTCTGTTTTAGTTATTATGCAATTATAACTCCAGAATTTCTTTTTGGTTTCTTTTTAGGCTTTTTTCTCTGTCAACATTTTCATTTTGTCTATACATTTACATTGTCTTTCTTTCTTTCCTTTTTTTTTTTTTTTTTTTTTTTTTTTTTTTTTACTTTCTCTACCCCTTCCTTTAGTTCTTTCAGCATCTTTTTTCTTTCTTCTATTTTTTTTTTTTTTAAGGTTTTTGCCACAGGACGTGTGAGTTCACTGAAGAGAGACAGAGAAAGCCAGTGGTTGGTTTGGTGGCTGAGGTGCTGGAATTCCCATTTGGCTGAGCACAGTTCAAGTCCCAGCCCTAGCAGCTTTCTCGCTCTCTCTCTTGCAAAACCCATGAGGAAAAAATAAACAGATAAATAAATCACTCTTTAAAAAAAAAGAGAGAGAGAGAGAGAGAGGCAGAGAGAGGGAAAGTGAGAAAGTACCCAGGAGGGATGCCATGCCACAGTCTCTCCTCCATTCTCCTCTTGGGATTTTGAGCCTGCCTGCCACATAGCAGCATGATTTTCAAGCTGCTGGGTTTGGGACTCGAACTGTAGTCAGCCATGTGGGAATCCAGCCCCTTCACTGGCACATCACCTGCTGGCCCCAGTTCTTTCAGTATCTTTTCTTTTTTTTTTTTTTTGGTGAGGGTTTTGCT